TATATGGCTGGCGCCTTAGCCGGTTGAGCTACAGGCGCCGAGCCCACACCATCTATTTTTAATGCATTTTCAGTTGCATTGCAGCTTTCATTGCCCCTAAATAACACATTAGTGTGTTTATCATTAAGTAGAATTCAGTTTTTGTTTGTGATTTCTCTCTCTCTCTCTCTCTCTCTTTTTTTTTAAGAGACAGAGTCTCATTTTATTGCCTTTAGTAGAGTGCTGTGGAGTCAGAGCTCACAGCTTCTTCCAACTCCTGGGCTTAGGTGATTCTCTTACCCTCTTGCCTCAGCCTCCTGAATAGCTCAGACTACAGGCTCTCGCCACAATGCCTGGCTATTTTTTGTTGCAGTTTGGCCAGGGCTGAGTTTGAACCTGCCACCCTCGGTATATGGGGCCAGTGCCTACCCACTGAGCCACAGGTGCTGCCCACTCTCTCTCTCTCTTTTTTTTTCTTTTTGCAATTTTTGGGGTCTGCGTTTGAACCTGCCACCTCTGGTATATGGGGCCAGCGCTCTACTCCTTTGAGCCACAGGCACTACCCTTTTTTTTTTTAATGGAACATAAGATGACAACTTAACATTTTTTAAAATAATTGCTTATATTTTTCTAAATGATGACATAAGACAGAAGGCTATGGAAATTTTAAGGCAAATAATAAACTAATTTCAATAATGTCTTTCTCAGTAAATTAAAAGCCAAATTGCATGTAACTATTGCTTTATTTTGCTTCACACTAATTTTTGAAGAATTGGATATCTTCAGAAGCTATGTAAGAATTTTGAACAGATGAGTATAGAGTTAAAAATTATTTTGAAAAAACTGTGTAGACTTATTGTGGCTTTAGTGTTTAGTTGACTGCTAATTGGACATCAGCTGACTGTTTTTAATCAGCGATCTGTCATATATAATTTAAATGTGATTATGATTACAAAGTATTGAAAACTGTCTGCTAGGCAGAAATTCACTGAACCCTGAGCACAGTCATCTCATTTCCATTTGATTTCAAACATGTTCATTGCCTATGCTCACTCAAGCTGATCAATTTTAGTGGGAGAAGAATATAAATAGTTCATTTTTTAAAATTAGTAGATATTAATGTGTCCACCAAGACTGCTCTAATGCAGGAAACTGAACCACATCAGTGGACGTAACCAGGAGCCTGCTGCTCAGAAATGAATTTGTCATTCTCAACCTTTACGTCCACTTAGGAAGTGGTCTTACGCCTTCTGGTGTGGTTTGTTTGTAATTGGAGGCTCCCAGGTTCTTTCTCCTCTCTACGTGGGGAGCACAGAAATTTGAGCCTCTCTAACACGGCCAGCATTTAAATCTGGTAGAGGCCAATTTCTCTCCTCAGGTGTGCAGAGCCAGTGTGATAGGCATTGCTGAGCTCTGCTTGGGGCTTGCAGTGTCTGCTGTGCTGACCGCAGGGCTTTGTTAAAGGCCCTACCAGGATGTGGGAGTGGGGACCAGAAGTGCATTGTAAGAGACTTACTTAATGTCTTTTTACTAAAGCCTGTTTCAAAGGCCAGTCCTAATACCATTTATGTAGTTTTAGATAAGAGATAAGGTAACTGGAAAATGGCTTCTTAGAACAATACATATAAAACAATAAATACTTTGGTTTTGATTAGTTAAAATTTCATTTAATTAGAAAAGTATACTGTGGCTGGACATGGTGGCTCATGCTTGTGATCCTAATTCTCTGGAAGGCTGAGGCAGGAGGATCACTTGAGGTCAGAAGTTTGAGACCAACCTGAGCAAGACCGAGACCATGTCTCTACTAAAAATAGAAAAACTAGCCAGACGTGGTGGTGGGCGCCTGTAGTCCCAGCCACTCAGGAGACTGAGGCAGGAGAATCACTTGAGCCCAACAATCTGAGGTTGCTGTGCGCTATGATGATGCCACAGTACTATACCCTGGGTGACAGAGTGAGACTCTGTCTCAAAAGAAAGAAAATTACGCCAACTGTGTGTGAGTGAACCTCACGGTAAAGTCAGCTTTAAGTGATTTGACTTGACCTTACTTTTTACAGTTAGAATGTTTCCATTTAATATTTTTTTTCTCTCTCTCTTCTAATGAAGGACCTGGGAAGAGCCAACAGGCGGAAGCCCAAGGTAAGTGCACTGTGTCAGGCCCTGCTCCACCAGCCCTCTTTGTGGTTTTTCACCATCTAGTCACGTTGGGTCAGAGACTAGTAGATATCCTGGGCAATGCTTTGTGGCTTATAGTTGTCTTTTTCTGTTCCGATTTATACCAGCTTTTTTTTTCTTTTTAATCTTCTTTAGCCTCCAGCTCCTGAAGATCTTGCAGTAGTTTGTTTCACAAGTGGAACGACAGGTTAGTTTTGAAATAGAATTCTTTTATGCTTGTTATCTGGAAGTCTCCCCTACTCCATCCACTTTTTTTGGCTGACTTATTAGCGAACTATAGATGGAAAGAGAGCAGAAGAGATGGAAGTGGCTTAAATGCTGTCTTTCCTTGCTCTGGAAGATACTCTCAGAATCTGAAAGTGCCATGTATTTCCCCAGACATTTACTAAAGGTGACATTAGATTCACCCATCTTTCTAGGGAAAACCATATAGTGGCTCCCAGGAAGAAAATACCTGGTTTTTCTTCTCTTATTGCTACATGCACCTTCTAAAATTTGGCCATGTTAACAAAGATTGTTTCAGATACTTTTAAGATAAGTCACCGAAGGTTTGTAGGTTGCTTGGGAATTTAGTGTTACTCAATATTGGGCCAGTGTATCTAACAGCAGAGGTCTCTGAGGCCTTACTTACAAGGGCTTCCAGGATTCCTTCATTTATGGCTGTTTTAACTTGCTTCTGTTTCATGTGTGCTCCACAGGCAACCCCAAAGGAGCGATGATCACTCATCAAAATGTAGTGAGCGATTGTTCAGCATTTGTGAAAATGACAGAGGTAACTTTTTGGCATGTTGTCACCCTTCTTCATGTTCATTGGTTGATGTTAGACTTCGAGAATGAAAGTGATAAAGGCAGCACCAGTGAGTCAGGTCCATGCCGT